GGTCCAGCTCTGTCCGGCGAGTCAGTCAAGTGCGCCAGGTGGAAGTTCGTACGTCCCAGGAAGAGACTTTCGTGGCGCTGCCGTGGTGCCCCCGTGGGCTGTATGCTCTGGAAGAGACCCACATGGAACATGGAACATGGACCATGCGATGTTGTGGCGCAGGCCCTTTGGCGCATGCACCCTCGGGATGGGAAGAATAAAAAGGACAAACCTCTCAGGCTTTCAGGCCTCTTACGACGATTGCTGGGGGACCGGGCCAGTCTGCCAAGTGGTGCACCGGCTGCCGCTAGTGCGTCAGTTCAAAGAAAAGGAGAACTGGCTAGGGCTGACAGAAGAAAACTCTATATATAGAGTCTAATGTTCCAAGGTGTGAACTATGCACTGCACTGCAACTTTGCTAGCAAATCTGGACGAACTTGTTTGCTTGTATGTTTACTGTGGCTACCCAGAGCCAGCAGCCACTGCCAGACAAGCACAGTTTCACGACATGTTCATGTACGCTGGCCTATCGAGGTCTTAACAAGAAAACAAGACCGAGGTCTTAGCAAAGGACCGAAACAAGACCAAAACCTCACTGAAGGAAAACAACATCCCGGTAAGAGTTCCATGCTGTGTTGAGCGCCTACCGAGTAGAAACTGAGGTTTGAAGCCTGCTTAGGCCTTACTAATGTCTGAACATAGGTTTCAATAGGGGGGCCTGGGTGTAGGAGGGCGTGCATAGTAGCCATGATATTCGGGATTTCAGAGGGCTCGGTCTGTTGTGACCATTTGACAATCTTTAAAAAGTGCACCAAGCATATTTGTTCTGGGAACATGTCGCCCGGAGCGGCGATGTTGTGTGCGCTGCCGACTCTTTCTGAGCACGAGCACGCATCCAAACCAGCAGAGCAGCAACAGCTAAGCAAAAAGGAAGCGCCGGCACAAACAGCGGCAACAGCGGCGGCGGCAGCAGCGGTAGCAGCAGCGGCTGCAGCACAGCAAAGCAGTAAGCAGCAGCACCAGCGGCAGCAGCGGAAGCTGCAGGTGGAGGTTGGCAGCAGCCAGCCAGCAAGGCCAAAGCAAAAGGAAAACGGTGGAGAAGGACCAGCAGCGATAGCAGAATAGGGCGGCCGAATCATTCGAGCTTCCGACGAAGGCGTCTACATCCTAGGACTGAAAGGCCAGCCCCCCACGGTGCGACCCAGGGTTAGAATAGCGTGTCATAGGGTTGAAATAGCATGTTTATGGGTTGGAAAAAAAGGTTCAAGGGTGGAAAAAACATGTTTCCAGGGTGAAAAAGGCATGTTTCCAGGGTGAAAAAAAAAGGTTGGAATATAAGGACCATGGGTTGATTTAGTAGGGGTTACATTTTTTTCCAACCCAGGGTTGAAAAAGCGTCTTGGAGGGTTGAAAAAAAAGGTTAGGGTTGAAAAAAAATGTTGGAGGGTTGAATAAACATCCAGCCCCACCAGGGTTGCTTTGGCACCCTCGCATGCTGAGCTGAGGAGATTAAGGAGGAATTGGCAACTGCAACTACTGGCCAAAATTATGCATCTTACATCTTAAATCATCTTCCGATATTAATGTATACACGAGCACATGTTCAAGCCACAAATAGTACATGCAAAGTTGTCAAGCCACAGCAATCATACACACAACTTCTGCCTCTAAACATGGAGCCACCATCCAACAACTGAGTGCAATCTCTCGAAGCCGTGCATTTACAACATCAACGCACTGATCGCATGACTCAAACCCCTCCGGCGACTGTCAAAGACCGAAAACTCCGAACACTCCTGCTAGGGGGCCACAGCAACCAGATGTTTGCCTTGCCAATTCACATCCACCCTGTTCTCAACGAGGGAACCACGCCTACTTGCACCAACACCTTGGCCCTACCACCTGGGCATCGAAGGTGGCAATGGTGCCAATGGCCGCGCTGGCCACGGCTTCCAAGAGCTCTTCGTCCTTGTGCTGTAGCTTTGCACCTCAGCGCCAAATGGGAACGAAATGCATGCGTCTCAATCCAAATGCAACAACATGTCATGAGAAACGTGATGTTTTCTAAACAACATGCAAGAAGGAACCATTTCCTGGGAAATTAATGATGTGAGCTTTGGGGCTGATTGCACATTCCAACGGGACTTCGATCATTCGGAACATTCCACCTCACCCGGCACATTCCGCCAACGCTCATGTGAGCTAGGCATCCGCGGCTAGGCATCCACGCATGACCAAATGAAATTAGAGATGGACTGCCTGCAAGAGTCGCACATCTGAGCACAAAACCGGAGCCTCCCAAGGTGTCGAGCCTCGATCGCCTCGCTATTTTCGTCGGTGTCGTTCCCAACTCAATGGAAGCTCCAAAATGCACATGCTTCTTGGAGGGTAGGGCCCATCATCCACTCACGTCTTATAAAACCAACCTTCGGAACTCTTAAACACTATAGTGTCAACGGACTTCCTGCCCAGCGGAGCAACCCAAGATATCACAAGTCCTCTGCAGCAACTCAAATGGGAAATGCCTAGCGTTTTCATGCTTGATATATCTTGATATGATTGAAAGAATCTATCCCTAGGGATCCAAGTACCTTCTCAGAAGGTGTTTGGAGACTAGAGGCTCCAAGTACCTTCTGAGAAGGTACTTGGATCCCTAGGGTATGAGTATGAGTATATGTTAATATATGACTGATTCAATGATCGATCCACATGCCTGGTGATGTGGGCAACTCTCCTTCCACAGTCCCACCACTTGGCCCATAGTTCCATCCAGAAACCCCTCTAGAACGGCTACGATGATCTAGGATGATCCAGGAGGTACATGGGAATTCCGTTTAAGAGGGTCAACACCTACCAATCTAATCTAGGCTCTTGATTAATGAGCCCCCCTTTTAATTATTCATCAAGAGTCTACATTATAGGGAGCCACCAATGAGTCCACTGCCAACTCCTCACCTCTCGAAGTAGGGCAACTTCTGCATGGCCGCCGCCACCAATGAGTCCATCACCTGTACAAAGTGAAGACCTGGACCTGGCCTTAAAACCCTGGTAGAGTAGCCGAAGGGATCGCTTCGCTGAGAAGGCAAACAAACATCTTCCAAAGAAAGGCCCTCCCTATCTCCGAAAAAGGTGCTGCAAGGCAAGGGAGCGGACCTTGGGGGGGGGGAGCGGACCTTGGGCGTCGTTGACATGGTGACGGGTCCGAAGTCGAACCTTCCGCCTCTCGCGATGGCTCTCACAAGCAGAGGAGGAAGGTTCGACGAGTAATGTGGACTTGTCGACTCTTGATTTGTAACCCCCCCCCTTTGAATCGGATAATCCTCTTCATATGGGGGTTACTAAATGAATGAGTCTGGCCATGTTTGTTCTTCGACCTGGCCAACACATGCTGTTCTTCCTCTCATCGGAATTGTTTGCCGCCATGCCAAATCCCCTTACTTCGAATGCTCCAAAAAATCTGAAGACGAGTACGTAACTGGGTGACCCCTGTTTGTCAGACGAACGAGGAGGCGAGAACAAACATACACCCAACGCTGCCAACGCGAACAGAAACGTACAATATGTTATCTGGCTGAGCCAGAGCTGACACCCTTTGGAAGATTTGGAAGTCTGCCCCTGCACAGGGCTCCAGCGGAGCTCACGTACGTAGCACTCATCAACCAAACTTCGTCGATTTCTCGTCCTGGACGTCAATCTTTGGGGCCCCGGCCCAGCGAGCCTGTTTTGGACGCTGGGCGAGTCAGTGCCCCAAACTGGCGAGTCAGTCGATGATCGTCGCCCCGGGCCGGGTCGGGCCAAGAGACAGGGTCATCCAGGAGGAGAGTGGTCAAGGCCCATCCTGGCACGCCCAGATGTGCTCAGTCGAGAGTGAAAGACGTTCGTGCCAAAGACTTCTTGGGTTTGAGGAAAGAATGGCTCCAAAGTGGATGCCTCCGGGGAGAAGGCCATGATTTGTGTCCAATTGCCCAAACTAGTGGTGTAGGGTGGACAACAAGGTGCTTGTTGGATGGATTTGGCTGATAATCAAGTTGAGTTTTGTTGGGAGGATCCCCCTCAGTCGAGGCAGCATTGCTCAGTCCAGGTCTGCAGCAAAGCTTGAAGTTGGACAAGTCTTTCCGGAGGGCCTTTGAATGATTTGGGCCTAGAGATCGTCTTGGCCGACCTTGTTCTTTCTCCACCGGCAAGTTCAGCATCCACACTGCTGTCCCACAAGGACAAGCTGGGCTGGCAATAACATTCTCACATCCCGTGGCAAAACTGCAGCCGCCCATTGTTTCTGCGTGTTGGGTGGTTCTATGACTCTATGCCCTTGAGTTCCCTCCAAGACCTCACCCCACAAAAAACGCACACCAAAACGTCGGAGATCCATCAGGGCCGCCCTGAAGCTCTCGCTCTCCTCTTCGAAGAACGTCCCTTTTTCTTCTCCAATTCCCCGGTCTTCAGCACCCGGCACGCCGAGTCTTCCACCGCCGCCAGCTGGCGCCGCACCAAGCCGCTGGCGCGAACACGGAGCTGGCCCTTCTCACAGGCACCGATGGCAGCGTTGTAGGTGATGTCGGAGGGGCTCAGCCGCCATTGGGACATGAGTTCCTTGGAGGACGAGAAAAAGGAGAATCGGAGAATCGGGGAGTTCTCCCAAACAAGTGGAGTGTCAGAGTGGGACAATATATATATATATATAATATATATGTGTGTGTACTATTATACATATATAAAATAGAATTGTATGTCATGTATGTATTTCACATCTTTCTAAGAATCTCGAGGACCCGAAAGAGGTGTTGGTCTTTTGTTTCTGCATTGGAACACTCCTTGGCTGTTCAGGGGTCTCAAGTCACAACAAGTTCGTAACAACAACACGGGCATTACTGCTAGATCTACTAGTAACTAGCTAGAAACTACAGTACTAGTAACAAGTGCATTGCTACAAGTAACAAGGTATCTTCGGATTGTGACCCAGGGGCAAAAGCGACCCGGTCTGAGCGCCCTGGCATCATCGACTTCCTCTGAAACGGCCATCTTCAGCCCTCCCAAGGACAAGATGCTAGGACCGCAAGGGCCTCTTCCCACTGTCCACACTTCCTTGCACCGCGCACGGTCACATGTCTCGAGGCTTGAGCGGGGGTGGTTTCAAATGACCTCCAAGTTGCCATGGTCGATCTGCGAGTCCACCTACTTTGAGGCAGTCACCACCGACAGACTTTGAAAATAATCTCCCCAAATTGAATGTCCAAGAACGACCCTCAAAGTGAACACCTGCATGTTGGCAGTGAAGCAGGAATTCTGCCAAACGGGTTCATTGAAAAAGACTGCCATATAGGTTTGCCAAAGTTCCATGCCACTCAATGAAGCGGTTGAACGAGCATAGACTTGTGGAACAACCCAAACCCAGCCCAAAGAAGGCTGCTATTTTACTTTACGGATGCTTTGCGTTTGGGATGCGGTTTGGCATGCCTGGAGCAACCAAAAACAGCGTGGAATCATCGAGACTCACAGGAATTCTCAACAGGACAAGTTGCAGGTGTCCTTGTCTTATCGGGAAGATCCCCCTTGTTCTGCACTATGAGCCGACAATCCCGCTTCTGTATTGAACATGGTCAGGAGTCTCGCAAGCCGAGATGGTGGCGTCACAGGCGATCAAACTGAGCTGGAAGGACTTCATGAGCAGCTCTGCAAGCAGGAGGAACCTCTGGTGACGGGAAATCATGAGATGATGTTGGCTGTGGTTGGTGACCACTATTGTGCCACTGAGACGCACACCTGGAAAGCGGCAATAATTGTCCACTGCACCAGGCCACTAGAATGGTATCACATCCAAATGGTTAGCGGTGTCCACTGGCCATAAAGACACCCAGTCGTGAGAAAAGAACCACATGTCCATGAGTCATCTTGCCCAAGCGTCAGTACAATATAGGCAGCCGGCATGGAAACCCTGAAAACTGAAAAGCTCAAACTCCGGACTCTCACGACAAACTGCACTGTAGCGGTACAGGTTGTGTTCTCACTTTAGCTGTTCTTTTTCATCTTCAACGCCCAAACCGTGTGGGAATGTCTTCCTCCCTGAGTCTGGTAACCACTCTCCACCCCGCGTGCGACCGCCGCCGCGTGCGCCCTTCCTTTCGCATCCACGCGGCGCCAAGGACCATTGGTGACCCTTCTCCGCAGAGGTGATGGTCGCACTCCAGGTGATTTCGTCCGCCTCCAACCCGTCCTGCGGTGCACGGTCTACGTGCCGACGTGCCGTTGTGTGAAGAACCGGTGCAGGGGCGGTGGGGAAAGGCACCCAACACATTCCAAGTGTTTATGTTTGTTCCTGGTTCACTGCCTATGAAAGGCCGTGACGGACAGGGACCGCAAGTCGCGCTATGTTTGTTCCTGGGATGGATGCCATGGGGTGGATGAATCATGCTGGGGAGCCATGATCCAACGGGACACCGTGGAAAACAGGAAACGTACATGAGAAAACACCTTTCAGGACTTAGAAGCCCAATGTGATGTAAAGCGGTGAGCCAAAGTGGTAAAGACTCAAAAACCTGACAAATGAAATACGGTATTTCCTTTATCACATGAGTGACCAGTTGGTTGATGCATTCTTGTTTCCGATTCTGCAACGTGAAAGCACCGCCAGGTGGACCGGTTGCTCCTGTGGGACCAGTGGGACAACAAAAGAACATTTGCAGAGTTTCGACCTGCGATACTTCAATCAAAGGCTTGGAGGCTGTTCTCCGTGAGGTAACACTGATGTGGGTCAGCCTCCAGCATTTTTGCATAGAAAAACGAAAAAGAGAGGGAGATAGAGAGAGAGAGAGAGCGAGAGAGAGAGAGAGAGCGGGAGAAGAAAGGCATTTATCTAGCTGGAGTCCTTCGACCCTCTGTGGGGGGGTTATCCTCAAACCTGCTGATGTTTGAGGGCACCGATTTCGAGAGTCGCACCACGAACTACGCGGAGTCATTCCTCCGGACATAAACGACTCAGCCGTCCTGCTCAAGGGCATTCAAGTGCCTTGTTCCGTGTGAGAGAGGGGTGAAGAGAAAAGGAGAGGGTCCCGAAGTGGCTGTTGGAAATTGATGATAATTGTGGGAACATAGCAAAAACCTACTTTATATTCACAACATGGAACATGCTGAGAATAGAGTTTACATACGTTTACTAGCTGCATCGATACATGTTGACTTTCGCTGATGAACAAAGTTGTCGGGCACCGTTCTTGAATTGTTGTAGTCTACAAGTCTACCACTGCCAGTGCGCAGGCCCAAGTGAAGGCTCGGTCTGCTTGGATACTTGGTTGACTCTAACATAGCGCAAGCTGACCACGTGTGCTTTGGCAGAATCTGTCAAGGGATTAAATGATATTAACTGGAAAAAAGTGGAAAGCATCCAAAACAATCTCAATTCGCAGTTTCCACGCATCTCCACCCTTCGTTTCCGTGCCCAAGTCACTCGAACGAAAGGATCCAAGCACCGCTCCGAGCCATAGCGCTGACGCCCGCGTTGTAGGACACCAAATCCGGCCGGCATGAGAAAGTCCCCAGCGCATCCTGTTGGCCGAATACCAAAGCCGGCAAAAGGACCCCAAAGGAATCCCCCCCAGCCGAGGATGGGTCACGAACAAACTGGTAGAACATGTAGAACTACGTAGGGCACCCCTGGCAAGTCTTCATTCATCTTCATTAAAAAAGAACAATTCCCAGGCTTTTATAAGACAATGCGCCAACGTTTGGTGAAACATATTGAAAAATAGTCGAGCTACTGCAGAAAGCAATCGATATCAAAGAAAACGACAAGTTTGCGTTGAGAAAGATTTCAGCCTGTTGTCTTCTATCTCCGGTAGGACACCCTGCTGCCAAAAGGAACCGGAGTTCCGGGCGTGACTGGGATTGCCCCACATCATGCCACCATAGTTGGAGATGAATCACCTAGAAAACAAACAAACATATATATATAATATTACACACATATATATAACTAATATATAACATAAATATATATATATGTGTGTAGCTCTGTGTCATCTACATCTGCTAGCTGCTCGCCATCGGGATTTCCTGTTTTCGGTCATCATCTCCCAATCGTTCGCTCATCACCGACGTCCGCCCAGCGTCCATCAACTCAGTGGCCCAGCGCCACTGCCCCGCCAGCCCAGTGGCGCTCAGCGCCGAGCACAGCACAGCAGCACGCGACCCAAAGCCGCGGTCGCCGCGGGAACTGCGGCACGCGAGGTGCAGCGCGCTGGGCCAATGAGAGATGCACTCCATGGCCTCAAGGTCGATGGGTTGATGCCACGAGAAGGACTGTAGGGGCCCCCCTTTCAGCGAATACTTGTGTGTTTCTTCTTGGGTCTTCCTGCAAAACAGGTTCCACATGGTTGGCTTGTGGGTGCCTGTCAGCCCGGCTCCGGTCCCCAGAGTGAGTCTCCTATGGTGGTAGCATTTTCGTGCACAAAGCACCCAGCACTGGCCTTGACCACTGGAGAGCAGCTGAAGTTATTTTGAAGCCTCTGATGATTGAATTCCCCAAAGCCATGGAGGCAAAGCTGCCACTGTGAGCTCATAGCAGTGGCCTCCAAAGCCTTCCAGAGCGAATAGGCGAATCCAAAATCGAACCAGTTTCCAATACATTGCAATACATATTACTTTATCAGTTAACCATCGCCAGGGCGAGGCAAGGCTGCAGCGAAGCTGCATGTCCAGGTTCAATGTGTGTTATGAAAGGGCTGGTAACCGATGGGTCCAGTTCAAACAGTTGCTGGGGCCAAAGCAACTCATATCAGGAATCCAGTTCTTTCATTTCGGGCTGGTTGACACGGGCTCAACACAATTCAAACTTGCAAAGTTGGAAGATTGGCGAAGCACCTCTTCAAGTGAACTCCACCATGCATGTCGGCAAAGGTTCATGATGTGTCTTCCTCTTTTCTTCTCTCTTCTCTCTCTCTCTCTCTCTCTCCAGTCACTAGTCTGTCTCTGTCTGTCTGGTCCTGTCCGCTCCGCTCCGCTCCGGCCGGCCCTGGTCTATCTGTCTGCCTCTGAAGCGAACAGACGCCATCCTTCCATCATGTTTGCGCATGTGTTTGTTGCTTTTGCATGCTTTTGCATCGTTCGGCTTTGCGCCTGGTTGGCGCTGAAGGCGTCCAAGCGCAAAGCCTCATGACGTGCTGCACTGGTCAACTGCAAGACCTGAAGCCATGGGGCTGCAGCTGTTGCCGCGGTGTAGGAGATGCAGTTCCGGCGGATCTGCCAACATGGCATGGCCGCCAACCTGCCAGGTTGGTTTGATTTGGTGTGATCCAACTGCCACCATATCAGGGCCCTATTGGTGTCTGCATGGCTCGTTTTAAGGAAAGGCCATAAACAAAGGAGCGGCAGTCTTGGTGCAGGAAGTTCTGTTACAAAGGTTCAGTTTCAACCAGGCATGTATATAATATATATATATATATGTGCTGTTTGTTCTTTGATGTTCTTTGTTTATGTATTTCTCCCTCTCTCACTCTCTCTCTCTCTCTCTTTTTCTCCCTCTCTCTGTTTCTGCACCGCATTGAAATAACACCGCAAAAAACTTATTCAACCTCTTCCGGTGAACAGCAGCAAGGCCACTTCCCACTGGCTCCCTTCACCAGATGCATTGATTGCCGAAGTGAAAGTCACCACATCTGGTAGCAGCTTCTCCGCTGGCAAGGCGCTGAGGAGCTGCAGGGCCAGGCTCCAATGACTGCTGGAGACATAGGAAGACATTAAGGAGTTGTAGCTGACGAGATCCGGCTGCAGCATATCCTCGTCAATGATGCGTACGCCCCTGCATGTCTGCATGTGAATGTTAATGGTTGGGCTAGTTGAGAACTATAGAAATTCTATGAAACTCTGATTCTACTGCTTGCAAAGCTGTCACTGGAAGTCACCTCAGTACAGGTGAGGTTGTACAGATCCTAAAACCCATTCACTAAGCTAAAATCTACCATTCGGGCAGCGCTGGCGGCGTCCCACAGATCAACCCTACCAGTCTGTCCTCCCGCATCAGGGTGAGGAGAAGCAGTTTGTCCTCCTGCCCTGGTAGAGAAGCCAACAGCGTGTTGTAACTCACCACGTTGGGCCTCCAAACTGCAAACCGTTCCCGAGTTTTGTGAGCTCTTGAGGGTTGGTGTTGCAACTGCCACTGATTCGATTCCGTCCGGGGAGAACGCTTGGCCAGCTTGCTTGGCATCCTCCACATAGTGCTTGAGAGAAAGAATCTTCTGAACTTTTGCTGCTCAGTTTCAGGAACATGATGTTGAAATCTAACATCATTATACATCCTAAGCACCCCTTTTGATGAGCTTAAGCTCACTTTGACGTTGGTTATGAATCATATAATAATGTACGGTTATCTCCGGAATGTCTGCATCCCCCAGTGCAAGCTAATCTGCAGGGGCCGTCCGAGAGCCTGCAACGTCGCCCCCGCAGCATGCGCAAGGCTCGTTGCCAACATTGGACCCGCACCAAACCTCCAAGTAAATGGGCCCATCTCTAACGCATTATCCGACTTCAAACATTCTCTGATAGAATAGCGACACTTCTGATACATCAACTGCATAGAGTTACAGTAAACAGCAAATGAATGCCGTCACTTCGGATTTCCTTGCGACAAACCCACATGTTGACGACATGGTGGCCACTGGGTGACGGGTGTTGAATCACCAGCTTTAATCAACAGTTTCGACATTTCTTAACTTAGATTTTCTTAGCATCCTTAGCCTTACACTCAATGACTATGACCCGAAATGCAAAGGGATCCTCCTGCCAAGATTTGAGTTCTATGCCTCCAACCACTAAATCCACAAGTCCTCCCGTGATGTCCAAGAAACCGCCCAAAGCCAGGTTGAAGCACAAAACATCCGCCTGGACGCAGGCGGATTGATGGGTTGATGATGTGTGATCCACCGATCAACTCACAACTAAAGACTATTGAACTATATTGAACTTTTGAGTTGATCAATAGTTCAACCTATATTGATTTTGACCTTTCGACCTTTCGTCTGTGTCTCAAATGTCGGGAGAATCTGATCTGCTTGTTCGCTGCACACGGACTTGTCCAGGCACACATCACTGGCATGTTCTGTTTGCGTCTCACCTCGACCCCCATGGCCGCTGCGGAAGCCAAAACATCCAAAGACTCCGCCCAAAAGCAGCGCAGGCCGCTCGGGCGAGCCGGGCCGCGGCCGGGGCTCGTCAGGCATTGCAGTGGTTGCGTCAAGGTGAGGCAGTCCGGGCACAGCTGCGTCGTGTGGATAGAGCTCAACAGGTCGAAACACTTCTGCCAATGCTTGAGGCTCCTGGGTTCAGGGCTTCAAACAGGGAATCAACTGGCATGGACGAAGGGAGATGGAAGGTGGGAATGGTCATCTGATTTGCGTGACTCTTCAACTGAGGCTCTTCATCAAGGAGTTGTAGATGATGAGATTGGCACCTCGGATGGGTGATTCCGGAAAAAAGAGGACACCGGACACCTGGGTGGCAATCCATCCCACTGGTGCCACTATCCAAGATATATCCCTAGGGCTCCAACCACCTCCTGAGAAGGTGGTTGGAGTGGGTTTGGAGGGTCCAAATACCTTCTGAGGATATGGTTGGAGCCCTAGGGGAATATATATATATATTATATAGGGAGAGAGAGGGAGAGGGAAATAAGAGCTGGTTTGTCAAGGAAGCTTCCGTGCGGCTGTGCCTTTCCCAAAATTATCAGCCCAAGGATTCCAAGGCATATCTATTTATTGGAACTGAGTGTGTAAAGCGATACGATTTCACTCGAGAGAGCATAGGGCATAAACAAAAGGATAACTAACACCAGCATCAGCACAAACCATCTATAGTAGTCATAGTGTTTGCAGGTGTCCGAGGCACGTAGACCCTCCTCTTGGAGCTCCTGCAAGAAGTGTGAGGCCTGAAGCCACCCACCACCACGGTGTGCAGCGTTGATGCAGCTTCCGTAGGAAATCACATCCTCAGCGCGTCCCGCCGCTTGGCAAAGAAGTGAGATGCAAGAGCTGAAGATGTGACTCCCGAGCCGTTTCCCTTGAAAAGAGGTTCACCTTTAACACCTTTTGTCCATCTGTTCAGATTTAGTGGAGGAACCCATCCACTGACGCGGTTGGTGCTTGATTTGTTGGAAGTGAACGGGGGACCCTTTTCTCGCCTGGTTGCAATGTCAATGAGGCGACCTCCCAAGCACCGTAGACAAGTACGTAGATAAACACTAGCTCGCCAGTACACACACAGTTCAAACTCGCAACCCTACTGACACCCAAAAAGAGGATAGAATGTCCATCTACTCCTCCAGAACTGCCCTCCGCTTTTTTGGAGGAGCCAAAAAGCAGAACAACTGCACAAAAGCATGCAAAAAGACTGAAAAAATCCTTTCAGCAAACCTCAAGACTTATTAAGACTCTATTGATGTCTCAGAAGCTGAGAGGCTTCTGCTCGGTCCCTTCCCCCGGTTCACGGAGTTCTGGGGTCACTGACGCATGGACTTCCAGGCGTCCGGTTTCAACTGGATCTTCCGCATGGACTTCAAAAGGCCCTTCGCTTCCAGCCAGGTGCCACAGGCCCTCAGCTGCAAATTCACCTCCATCACACCGACCTGGAGCAGCGGAGCGACAGCGGAGCGTCAGGGGCGTGAAGACCCAGTGGGGAGGTGGAATTCATGGTGATGAAGAACCCATGAAGAATCCACTGGGCCCCCAGCTCCACTGGCTTTCAAGGATTTTACACGTCTGGAA